TAACGAGTTGTCGAACTTCGAGGGAACGGCAAAATCTTCAAGGTATCTCCGGATCTTCGATAGCGATCGGCGTCTTTGAATTATCCTAACGCTCAGGCATCGACACAGCAGTGTCGCGAACGCTGAGTCGGAGGAACGCAGGGTCTCAACGAGGCTCTGGAAGGAAGGGAAATGATTTTCGGAGGTTTCCTGGTATCTTCAATGGGAGGGAAGCAGCTGATTCCTTCATTGCAGGAGAGCAGAGAAAGTCAGAAATACCTCGAGAACATTCTCGGCGACCAAGATTGTCGCATCTTCAGCTGATATCATTTCGACGGAGCTTTCGACGCAAGCAAAGGCTTCGAGCATTGGAACGATAAGTTTGATATCACTGGGCTTCACTGGGAAAGTCTCTCTTTCGTTGGAGTTGGAGTAAATCGCCCGCATTTGCGGCTCAAGCGCAAGAAATCTCTGGAGCATGTGTCCGACGCTGTTCCATCGGGTCGGACAGTACAGGCGAACTTTCAGCTCTTTGTATCCGGCATAACGGCGCGAGGACAGCAGAGCTTCGTGTTTGGTTGAGCTCATTCGGAAGAAACGGCACGTTGCCGCAACCCGCGTGATGACTTGACCGCACTGTTCCTTGAACTCGTTGATCTCATCATGCATGACGTCCTGAGGTTCCTCCAATCTTCCGATTCGGTCGGGTTCGACGTCTTCATCGGCGACGTCTACCCAAAAGTGTGCGTCATCGAAAGGCTTCGAGTTCAAAGAGTCGAGAACCGCAAGATGTATCGCGCGAGCAAAGCAGGTTTGACGAAAGAAGGGTCGCGGCGAAGCTGCATCTTGCAGAAGTTCACCCAGACGAACCATACAGTTCGCGCCGTCGGTGGTGATGCCTTCGATGTCGGTCACTTTCAAACCGAAGAAGCGCAGGCCATCCAGCAACGCATCGCAGAGCAGCTCAGCCGTGGATCTGTCTTGAAGTCTTAGCATGAGAAGCTCGACGCTTCTTGACTTAGCGGAGGGGATGACTTTCGTGGAGTGGAGGGTGACTCCCAGGAATTCCTTTTGCTGGAAGGTCCACTCGTCTGTCGTCAGGGAGTATCCAGACCCGGGACAAGTTTTCAACGCGACCAGATCGTTTCTGAGAACCGTTTGAAGCTTAGCGGCTGTCTCGTCAAATAGCTTTGTCCCCGAGAACCTCGAGATGTCGCCTAACTTTGCCCATCTGAAGAGTTTTCGCAAACAAGGTAGATCGCACCACGCGAATGGCATACCCGCCGATATCAAATCCGACAACATTCGACGGTGACTCCGGGTGTGGTGTCTCATTCCTGTGAGGCTGCTCTTTTTGGCTTTGACGGTTCGAACGGGTACGCATATCTTGCATTCTCCCGACTTGATCGTTCCCGTAGGCGTCCGTTTTAGATCGAAAACTCGCTCAACTGAAGCAGTAGAGGGGGATTTAGGGTCCAGCTTCCAGTCTCCAAGCTCCAGACGAGACCTCGATGCCTCAAGTTTCCCAAGCCTATCCCGATATTCACGAGTCGAAGAATTTATACTATGGCCAGAATGTAGATAATTTCTTTCATCGTCACTTCGTCTCCGGGTCTCGCATCCGAAGCGTGGCCGTCACCACCATCCGATTCTGCCTAGTTTACTGCCTGCGCCTGGCCTTGCATGGCATCACAAGCCTGGGTCTGGGGTAAGGTCATACGTTGAGCAGGTTGGGCTTCACGTTCCTCTTCTTCTGGTGGATCCATAGAACTGCCTTTCGCTGCAGAACGGATACCAACACGCTTGCGTCTTCCCATCCTGGATAGCTGGCTTCATGACTTACGACGTAATTGCCGGAATAAGTGCAAGACTCCACTCCACTCTCGACTCTCGAACAACAGACACACCACGCGGATATACTAACTTCGTTTTCCTCAGCTCTGGGTTCTGTCGTCTGTCATCACCATTTTTTGGCCGACTGATCTCTAATCTCTACTCCGTAGCGCAGACGAAGTAGGTCTTCCCAAACGTTGTGTGCTTCGACCGCTCTGAGCTACGATCTACGGTGGGCTATAATGGTTATACTACTGCATTCTCCAGCGTTGTGCTTCGATTTTCGATTGCCCACGAAAAGTCGACGACCGCGAAGCGAAGCTAAAATCCAACATGGAACGAGAACAGTCTGAACCCGGCAGCAACGCCATTCGAAGCGAAAGTTACTTTGACTCATTCTCGTAGCCCCAACCTCATAGTTGAAATGCCGTCACGGGCCGTTGCGGGCCGTAATATGCCGTTATTTTGGAACCACTTGATTTCTTGACAGGCTGCAGAACAAGCCATATATTCCGCCTCCGTCGAGGAGAGTGCGACAGTTGGCTGTTTCCGACTTGACCAGGAAACACTTGCTCCGGACAGCAAGAAGACATAACCCGTCGTAGATTTACGACAATCATGACAACCTCCTCTATCTGCATCGGAAAAGGCCAGAATGCCTCCTTGCATCTTGCCATCGAACCTCAATCGAAGAGTTGATGTCCCTCTCAGATATCTCAAGATTCGTTTCACCAAAGTCCAGTGTGTCTTTGAGGGATCTGAGCAGAACTGGCTTGCCCAGCTAACAGCAAAGCTGATGTCTGGACGGGTTGTCTGAGATATTAATATTAGGCCACCGACGGCTTCACGGTAGGAAGCCTCAGCCGGCTCCTCATCCTCTGATCGTTTTGTGTACCTCGCACCCGGTTCCACGGGGGTCTCGACGGGATTACAATCAGCCATCCCAAACCGCTCCAGAAGTCGTCGAATGCTCTCGGTTTGATCAAGCTCAATAATCTTCTCTTCAGGTCTTTGCACAATCTTGATGCCAAGGCAATATTGAGCCTGCCCTGAATCTTTTATCGGGAAGATTTTTCCCAATCCCATGACGACCTCGGTTCGCAATCCCGCATCATTTGAGAAGATCAGAAAATCGCCAACATGAATTGTCAGTATGATGATCTTGGTTCCGCTCGTGAACCAATAAGAGCATCGATCGGCACTGAGCTCGTTCAGACCCAGGGATTTCAGAGCCATGTTCAGCGTTTCGAACCAGACTCGACCCGCTTGTTTCGATCCGTAAAGCGATTTCACAAACTTGCAAACCTTATTCTCCACTTGAAACATAGCAGGCTGTTCCACATATCTCGTCCGGACTCTTCTTCTCGTATCGACGGAAACAAGTGATTCTTGATACCTGAGATTATGGCGCCGCAAGCCCGCTCATACTGGTGCATATCAGTCTTCGTCCGGTCGACGTAATCCCATAAATCGCAATTGAACAGATGAGCTTCCGTAGCAAAACGCCCGTCCATGTAGCGGGTTGCTCCTCCCATTTTTTCGAATGAGCTGGGTACGCTGACTGTAGACGCATGCCTTGTTTCCGTGTTGTTGGTTTCGAAATTGGTCTCACTGTCCCTTTGTCTGTGATTCGGTATAAGGGAGAAAGTGGGTCTTCTCCTTGGTACTAGTGGTTCCTCCTCCACCCATTCGGTTCTTTCCGGTGGCGACTTCCTTTTTCGACTTTTATCTTGAGTCTCCCGGCTAGTCGCCTGTTCTTCATTCGACGAGGCCCTGGATCGGGTCCTCGGTCTCCGTGCTGGGCCCATAACCTTTTGGCAGATTACTTTTGTTCTACGATGGGAATGACTAGCTCCTAATACCAAGAACGAAGTCACCAACTAGATATTTTTCCAGGATGATTACTCCTTATACAATTTATATAATTGTATAGCACTCCCAAAAACCTTGTGAGTCGGGTCATGCGCAGATGAAACTCGTGACAATAACCGATTGTCAATCTCAATCCGGTGATTTCGGATCCACAAGGATGCACAGCAACCCGTCAGAGGAGCTCGGTCACATCCACCGATTATAACCCCACTCTCCCTATTCGGGCTATCCCAGGGAAGAACTATGGTTTATGATCCGCACGAAAACCGTTCCTCATTCACGAGAGTTTCCGGCAAATTTGTTCGGACGTCGAATGGGGAAGAGAAATGACTCTCGTTCGCTGCCTGTCCCCATTCGACGTCTTAAACTTGTGTGATCAGTAATCAGAGCTAGAAGGTAATCTGTTCGTATTGGAGAATTGCACATTGCGCGCTTCATCCTCCGCCTGATCTCAAACGAGTTTCAACGGCATGGGAAGTGAACTCGCGATACCCACAGTGAAATCAGGCTATCGCGCGGTTTCAAGCCCGTCAAAAATATATCGGTTCGATCGCTGATTTCCACTGAGCGGAAACTATCCTCATGGTGAGGATCAGTAAAACTAACGTAAGCTCTCTGGATTGTGTGACCACAATTTTTTCAGAGGAGGGAGGGAAGTTCCTGCGATCCAAGAGTGAATTCAAATATTGGCGCCAGATCTCTCCCATCAAGAGCGCTCTCTTCTTATTTACTCCGAGAGCTCGACGGGACGTTTCACGCATTCCCTTGAGAGCGCGACGTTTCCCGTGCCGTCAATCTATATTTCGTCATGCCGGGAATCACCGAAGAATTCAATGAAAATTGTTTGACACTGGTGCTCTCTCCAGGTTTGACACCGTGTTTTGGAATGATGCGGAGAAGTGCCATATTTGACCGTGAAGCAAGATGGCTGACGCCCGTCAGCCTGCTAAATTAGCGGGCCGAGAACAACACTTGTAAGGGAGAGAAATCCGCGGCACATCGCTCACTCAGAGCCGAGAGAAAATGCGAATAATCTAAATACACCAAGATAAGGAGCAATCGCGATCTGGAAATCATTTATTCTCGCGCATATGCCCTGTTTCTTAGTGAACTTATAGACGTTCGTCGGTGCCGGAAAGTCTCTACGATATATGTTCTACCCTCGTGGGGATGTTGCATCTATGCCCGTCTTTCCTGAGAAGGCCTATGAAGATTCAGTTCTAGAGTGATGCCTAGTCCCGGTTGATTTCCGAGCATCTTGAGACCTGGGCCTGGGATTGATGGTTGATCTATTCCTCATCGCGTATCGCTAAATCATGTCCGTGTTGAAGCTGGAGAAAGTTGTGAGTTTTTCCAGCGAATCCAAGGTGAGAAGATATCACCACTTGTTGCATCAAAGCGTGCGCGCGGGAAGAAAGCGGAGACTTCGAGAGCAATCGAAACGTTCCGAAATTCGAGAATTGTGACCCTCCAATCCGTGTATTGATACTACGAGTTGATGCTGCTCATTCGATCGCCAGGCTCCCTAGAAGTCGATTCCTCCTCGGGACCAATCGGCATTGTGAAGCCCATCTCTCTCGAACCATTGGAATAACGGAGGCCTATTTTTTAGAAACACCCATCTACGAATCTGCTTCAAGGGGGTCCGAGCAATGATCTCAACAGAAAATGGCTAGCGCAGTCGACCACCGGAGAGAAAGCATTCGTTGTCATAAAGCTGGAAGGGCCGTCAGTCATCAATGGTAGATGCGGTTCGAGGGACAGTTTTGTGTCAAAATTGTTGCACGATAATCTGGAACGAACCTGACCTGCTCCAACCTGACCATTACATGAAGCGATTGATATCGGCAACGAAGGCAGTGCTTACATCGAGGTGCTCGTGTCGAACGACAGGAAGGACTTCATCCGCTTGTTGCCATCATCGTCGTTCATGTCGCCCATGGAGTCTCGGATGAATGAGACGCGCAATAGGATCAGATCCTTCACTGCTTGTGAGAAAGGCGACAGACTGCATTCTTCCACCATATTATGACGGTGTAGCAGTAGGTAGTCAGAAGAAGATTCCTGAACCTCTCGGGTATGACGTCGTCCATCGAGGAAATAACTCAATTCCGCCTCTGTTGTTCCGCTCAGTTGAACGTGAAGCCGCTGGCAAGGCTTGGACCTACGTAAAGTTCGTTTGCTCTCAACCCTACAACAAGAACTGGCCCTTCGGGATCGCATTCGTCGCTCTACGCGGATCCAAGGAGAGCTCATCGGAAAAGGTTCGTTATTCTGCTCGAAGACTACGGCAATCAGTACTGTATGAGTTCTCTATCAGGCATCGTTCGCGCTTTGACATCATCGTCAGCGCATTGTCCCTCCGGAAGCACGGACTCGGCATTCTCGCGCGTGTTCATATGGCGAATAGCCCGTTTCACTGGTCAAGTGTGATTATAGCTGAAACGAACCTGAACTTTTCAGCCGGAGTCGGGCTCTTCCTCCTCCATCATTGCCGGGAGATCCGCACCCGAGGAGTTGAATGACGATACAAACTGCTCGGCTGAATCAAGAAAGCTAGAGCTCAATCAAGGTGTTGAAGTCAACAGCGATGAGGTGAGTCGCCCGCTGCGATTCGACTGCGCGCTCGCAAAAGTCTAAGACAGGGGTGTCAGACTTAAATTTTTTGCGGGCCACGTTCGAGCGCTGCAGGTGCCCGCGGGCCACATTAAGAATTTACTTTCGTATATAATGAGAATATATGCCTATCGTCCATGAGAGAAAGCTTTCCCAGCCTCCGGGAATAGAGGGAAAACTCGTTTGTTCGGTTGTACGGAGGTATTCATTCCACCGATCTCATTCAATTCCCAAGCACTCATCCGAAACAGTCGGCTTCGAGTATGTGGGGCAAGAGTGGCGGGCCACAAAAAAAGACCTCGCGGGCCACATGTGGCCCGTGGGCCACGGATTTGACAACCCTGGTCTAAGACTAGGTCCTCCGACAGGAATGCAAGTCGAAGGGAGCGTCGACTTCATCAGGAGGAGAAAGCAGGAGCAATCGAGAGAAGGGACGAAAGGTTTTAGACGGAGTGGTATTCGTTCTAAGCGGTTTCCAGAACCCCCTGCGGAAAGAGCTCCGGGATATGGCGCTCGCTTTGGGAGCGAGGTGAGTGAGTGCATTGTCCGAAGACATCCGGAGCGTTCCTAGTCAGATGAGCGTCGGGACAGCATAAGCCCATCAGGTAGACATTCACTTCCAGCGGATCGAGTTGCCAGACCAAACGATTCTAATTGTATTTCTCACCGCGAGGTCTTAGCTCGCCCAATATTCAATCGGTACCGGTTATTGTCTTTTGTTTTTTAGTCTGGCGACTCGATTTATCGAAAGTGAATATTTCCCTGTAAGACAGGAGATCGAGTCGAATACGGGTCCTTGAAATCGATTCGATGAAAATTCATGTCCAGAATCCATCACAGGTATTCGCCCGATTGGACCCCTCGGTGCACTCATCTCGTGTCGGCTTTCAGCAACACTCCCAAGTGGTCTCAAGTTGCAGCCATCGGCGGCCGTATTGTGACCAAGGAATGGCTAGCAGAGTGCGAGAAACTTCAAAAGAAAGTTCCGTGGAAACAATTCAAGTGTGGAACGTACAGGGTTAAGGTACAGGAAGCCGCGACTCCGATGTTCAGCGATGAAGATTCGTCCGAAGAGGAAGACGTTGCCGACGATGATAGTGACTACGATCCAGGGGAAGATAAGTCAGAAAAGGGCGGAAACCTCGCCGATCAAGGAGAAGAGCGGAAGCAGGAACTCGAAACTCCAGAACCTCCATCAACATCTCTTCCCGATGATTGTGAAATCGACGAATTGAAAATCATTTTCAAAAACAAAACCTTCTACCTGGACAGTGACATTGAGCTGAGTGAAGAGAGGAATACTCTGACGAGATACATCGTGGGACATGGCGGTGAAGTCAGCTCTGATCCAGCGGCAGCTGAACATATCATATCTTGGAAACCCGGGGCCTCCAGTCCCCTATGGATCGTCAGATGCCACCAGGAGAATCGATGGGTCCAGGCTTGAGATTATACCTTCCCCTACTCTGCGAATCGAGTTCGCTCACGAGACGTATGTCGAAATTTCCTCCTTGAAATATCATGTTCCATATTTCACACGCTCGACCTCGGTCACACGAAGTACTTCGAAGGTATACCAACTGGATGTGTCCACCCAATTACACCGAGACTCGAGCAAACTTTTTGCAATAAAGCGCTCTGGTCACTAACCAGATGCATCACTACCTACTTCCCTTCAAGCACATGCCTTGATTCCTCACATGCCCGATCTTGTGCATTAATGCCGGGATCTGAAAACCTGAAGACACGGGAGAGGGCATAAGGCGTTGTGTTTCGGATTTTTTCGGATTACTCTTGGCTTCCGCCACGGAGCCTCACCATCGCGCTTCTACGGAGATCCATCATTCATTATCAAGGAGTCCTCTTAAACCAGCGGACTCGACGGGGAATCCTGTGGTGAAGCTCGGTCTTGTCTGCGGAACCAAGATATGTACCGTGTTCGATGGTCGTGTCTTCAGAATATCCGTCATATATCGAAAGCGAAAACCAGCTGAAACGCCGAAGAAATTCTTTATGGTCTCTCCGAGACACATCACAGGCGATGAGGTCGAGAGTTGACTTCTCCAGTCACGTGGTCGAACGTCTCTTCTGTCCGCTCCTCTAATTTCAGCCCCCGAGAAGTCGTCTGAAGCCATGAGCATGGTGATTTGTTCTTTCTCCATGCCCTGGGGCTCCACAATCTTTTCGGTTGATCGCGCAGCAACATATTCCGGATCTGAGCGGTGACAGGCGCGGAATATGCCGAGGAGTATGAGAGGAAATACAGTGGGAGTTGGACCCTAGCGGTTTCATATCATTTGGTCAATGTCTGAGGTCATTTGACTTCCCGAGATGTGCGAATTTTTTCGCTGTGAAAGGCCAGATCCTCTCCTCTGCGGAATGCATGCCGCCTGGCTCCAATAGACGAACAAGGCGCACGACGGCGCCGCGGCGTACGGTAGTCTCACTCAATCATGTAGTGGTAGTGTATGGCCGGCCGCCGTTGAAGCGGCGCTCGTGCCCTCTCTCCGTGAGCGAGGGAAGACAGCATGTTCCTCGCAGCACTTTGCCTGCTGCGTGATTCAAACCTCCTCTAATAGTATTCCGTCAGAAGAAGTTTTTCGAGAGCAAAGTTGTTGGTGCATGACTCGAGAACCTAGTCTCTCGTTGTTTTTCGGATTTAGGAGAGCTCCAGCGAGCAGGATGCGCAAGGTGCTTCTCACAGTGTTCTTCACGGCCATAAGCTTCGAGAGTGCGGCGGCTCTTGAGTGCGATGTCGCGCGACAACATTTCCGCTCGAGAAATTTTACTCTATCGGAGACCTGCGAGGAGCAAGCGACGGGTGAGTGTTGAGAGGTTTTCCACCACGGGTATTCAAGGATTCTCCGGGATGGACATGTTGGACTGGGCCACGGAGCCGGGGGTCCCGACGTCGATTGATGAATCCATTGCCACTTGTTGCTGTTCACAAGTTTGATACTAGGTGGATCTCATGTGCGGGACAGATCGCAGCGGAACTCACGCAATGGGTTCGCGATGACGGCCATGGATGCCGATTCAAGGAGGCCTTTCGTTAGGGCCCGAGGTCCGATATGCAGCTTTCGGAGGCGCTCAGAACTGGTTGATTTAGGGAGACTACATCGCTAGACTGGCCTGACTCCTTGAGCACTCTCTTGTTTATCTTAAAAACCACGAGTTCAATGATCTTGCCATGGAAACAGTCAGAAGAGGACGTTCCGTGGTCGATATGATTATTCCGTTTGAAGCAAACCTCGGCCTACGCCAGGAAGAGGTTCACTTATTCGGAAGTTTCCGGCAGATCGCCATTCGTTCGTGGATGACGAATGGCGAGCACCTTATGACCTTCACTCGCCTTCCCAAGTGGACCATCGAGCGCATTCATGCTTACGTTGGCGGGGAATATCGTGCTGAAGATGTCTCTGCCGCAAGAGGTACGCTCATTTGTACCTCAGAGGTCAGCGATATTCAGTCAGGCCTCAGAGATATATGTATGGTATGTACGTTGCGCTTGTGCTCTCGGCAATCGGATGCTCAACATGCGATACTCCGTCATGTCCATTCGCGATAATTCTAGGTAAAGATAAGGCAGTCCGGTGGAATCCTCCGCCGCGGTCACGATACTCGAAGTAAGTAAGCGATTCGGGAGAGCGGGAGACCACACGGGGGCTGTTGCCCTAAGTAGCCAAATGAAGTCGTAAACACGTCTCTGACGAGGCTATATTTCTGAGTTGTAGATATTCAGACCTCGGGCGTTCCGAGTTGAGAATGGAAATGTTCGGCAGTATCTTTGAGCGTTCCCTGCGCGAGGGGACCGAGGACCTCTTTACGATGCACATTGCGCGCGCCGGACAGAGCCTTCATGACATATTTCGAAAATGCATCGATTCATACTCTGGATTGGGTCTTCTCATGCGTAGTGAATAGTTCGGGAGGCTCGCCGGTGAGCTATGAATGATCTAAACTCGCGGCAACGAGACGCGAATGGTCTTAAGGATATGAATCTATTCATAGTCACAAGAAATAAACGTCGATCGCCGGTATTTCGGGTCGAGGCAAGACAGCTGGTTGATAACGGCTCGGCTTCTCCGTACTCCCTGAAACAGAATCCGAACGAGCGTTGAACGAACTTCCTCACTCAAAAGCGCATCCGGAAGTCCGATGCGAGAAGCTCATCGGATGGTCGATGGAGTGGAATATGAAACTCGAGTATTCGCAATGAGCATCGAAGTGAGTATCATCTGACGAATCTCTTCTCGATCCGAAGCTCTGAAAGATTTCACCATGCTAGCATGAGAATATTATCGCGTCGAATCTACGGCGGACCCTCTCTCCGACTGATTTACCTAGTCTCGAAATCGCAAGCTTCGTCAGAGCTGACATGAGCGATTATTCGATAGAGCTCCGTCGATCAGGGTGATGAATTCAATTTCATGGAGGAAAACGTTCTTCAGCCTGAACGCAAGCTTCAGATACAAACCCGAGTCGAGATCGGCGTGGATGTCAAGAATCATACGACTCGACTGTCGTAAACCCCTTTTAAGTTCGGCGGGGTTTATTGCGCTTCGTTTGAGGACTCCGACACTCCGGCACAAGGGAATGCGAGTGAAGAAGTACTTCAAATGCCTCGATGCTCCGCTGCGGATGGGCGACCTGCAAGATGAAGGGATAGATAGGACAAGAACGAACTTTTCGAGGGCCGTAGGTGGATGAGAAGCAAGTTTTTCTCAGTGACCGGGAGACATAGCGAGCTTTAGCCCCGTCTCGATGAGCCTGCCGTCCGAGCCAGAAGCGGCCGCCCTAACCGCCAGCGAGCGGGCCAGTCGTCTGATGAGTGAGCGACGAATGAATGAGCAATCAGTCAAGCTCCTCAGAAGAGATCGTGAGTGTTGTCGAAGCTCTGTTCGAAGCGGAACTCGATGTTTCTCATGACCGACGTGTTATTTGGTGAAAAGCGGACCTACCCTTGCATCAAGCAGAAGACGTATCCTCGAAGCCCGAAATTACACATCGATCGGGCGACCGAGACCCTCGAGTTGAGGATGGCCGATTTGCAGAAGATAGAGAGAAACTCGTCTGATTGTCTGGAGTTGAGGCTTCATCTCGACCTAACCCGGCGGACTGAACGACAATTGTCGGGAAAAAGGGGATCAGCTGATCTCTGTCCGAAGGTTTTCCGCCGCTCCAGGCGCGGAAATTAGATAACTGGCTTGTACAACCGAGCGCATAGCTTGAGATTAGAATTTTTCCGTTGTGACGATAAAATTCGAGAAATGCAGAGTTGACTCTGAGGAAGGAAGTGTTCACGAGTCGAGCTTCACTCTGAGTTCTCTGAACGGTTTTCTGGCAGCAGTTTTCAGATGTGGAGGCTTCAACGAAGAGCGCGTTGTTGCTGATGTTTGCTCGAACCAGTGGTTTGGTTCAGTGAAATGACGCCCGACGAGCAAGGGACCAAGCGACCGAACGAGCGGGCGAGCTCGACGGCGGCAGAGCCACGTGTGGTGTGTCGGTCGCTCGTTTGCTCGAACCTTGCCGGTCCGTCGGCCGGCCGGACGTCTCATTGCATTGTGGCTGCGGGGTTTATCTGGCCGCTGCATGCTCGTCGTCCTGGTGCTTTGAATTGAGCTCGCCGGTCAGCGAGGAGGTTTGAATCTCTTTGTGCTCTGAGTCCGGATGTTTTCTTCGGGGGATTACCGGGTGAGGAACTTCGGAGAGCAGCGAGAACCGATAGCCCCGTAGGAGCGAATGGTCCCGATTACGAAACTGTTCATCTCGGCCGGAGGCGAAATATTTTCAGATCGAAAATGTTGTATTTGGCCGTGCTGGAGGAAGCGATTCGAGACATTCAAATCGAGAATACTACATAGCTGTGTCAGCATTATCTCGAAGCCTTCTACCTCTGAGCCGACGAACTGCGTTTACCGTCGAAGATGGCAAAATTCCGTGAAACTCCGGATCAAGTTCGGGATCGTACAGGCGCCGCTCCGGTGCAGCAAGCATTCTTCCTCCCGGTCATGCCACAGTGCGATTTCGAAATAGGATGACAACGTCGGAGCTGCCGTCCCCCGGCGGGCCACGATCGAGGGAAGTCCTGACCACAACCATGAGTGCCTCTGAGTTGAGAGGAATCGTTCAGACTACAATGAGACGAGCGGTCATAGAATTCGATTCGACTCCTTTGGCTTATCAGTCTACGGCTCCCTTGTTCCGGCTCTCCAATGCCGGAGGAGGAGTTTTGGGAGCGACTGGTCGATGAGTATGATCTGTCACACTTCGCCTTTCGCTTCTCCATCCAGAACAGGTTGCGAGGTCTTGAATTGGATTCAGGGCTAAGGTCGTTGCCGTGTATGTGAAGGATTCGTTTCTCTCAGTTCCATGGCCGAATGAGGGACTCGGGCCGCGTCATAAAAACGGTGCTCCTGCTCAATACACCAGCCTACCATGTTGCCGTCATCTAGGTACGGTAGGATCGCAGAAGTGTTTAAGTAGGCACTCAAGTCGACTCAGTCTCATGCGACCAATTGCCCTCCCGAAAGGGACTTCGACGCTGAGGCAGTCTCCGGAGGGAGCGAGCAGGTATCGATGAGAATATCATATGATGAACTCGGCGATCATGAACGAAGCGCCAGTGACAGCGACGATTGCTTCTCGAGAAAAACTGAGCATAATCAATGGATTTTACGAGAGGTAGAGATCGGAAATTGTGCGCAAATGTCGACCCGTTCGTCGAAAATATCGCTTCCAGCTCTTCGATTTATTGCCTCGACTCTGAAAAAAGCTCGACGATGCTTCCCTCCGAGCTCCGTTAAGCGTCATTCGAACTATTCAGGGCGACAGAGCTCCCCGCGTGCTGCAGGCTGTCACTCGGAATGCGCTTTATACCTGTCTAACTTCTAGAGTTTAGCGTTCACATACAATCAACGTCCGACAGTATTGCTCTGGATGCCGAGCGGCCCATACGGAACATGTGTCCTGTGACGACGGAAAAGTTTCCTTGTCTCTTAGAGCAAACTAATCCATGGATAACAAACAACAACAAATTTGAAGACAAAAAAAGACAAAGCCCTCCTTGTCTCGGATCCACCGGTCGCAGTTCCGCGGCTTCTCCGTTCAGAGTCCGGTCCGCCATATGTAGATCAGACGTACAAGCACATGTGTTGACGAAATGACTCGTTCAGGCAGACATCGTGAATTTCGGAAAAGCGGGAGAAGTTCAATGAGTCCGCTGACACTTCCGGTTTTGATCGCTCGATGAGCTCTTTGCGTCGAATAATTCTTCGAAAATCTACCTACCTGAACTCATGCACGCTGACTATTCCGTCTTTACTGAGAGGCAGAGGTCGCTCGAGTGGGAGCGGTGTGAAATCTGGGAGTCAGGAAACAAGCTCCCCATGAGTGCTCGATTCAATCCAGATCACAATTTCTACCCGCGAAAGAAATACGGGCTCCGCCGCGTCGAAGAGATGAGCTGCTAGCCTTCATTGTCAGGAATCACTGATTCAAATTGGCAGACGACCCTATTGAATTAGTCTGCGTTCTTCTCCGGCGGATAAAGAGTGACCTCTCCACTGACGCGGCACCGGGAAATGAGACTGTCATTAGAAGCGATCTGCCGCCGTCGAATTCTGAAGTCCCATACGTTCCGGCACGTGAAAGAAATCGTCGGCGCCACGGTGAACCAATTGGACTCTGGGACAGGAAGGCAACGGGAAGACGTATCTATCAGCTTGTTGAGATAGTAGTCTCTCGAGGGACGGCAGCGGCAGCAACACCAACTACACGGGTGACGACAATCTTATTGCGGCAATTGTCTTGTTGGACTCACTCCGTAATAGAGGACAGCACTGCGAAGACACCGTCTGTTTTCTCGCTTTTTGCTCCGGACGCTCACATTTTTCAGGAAATCCGATTCCGCGTGATCGACCGTTTAATCACCTACTAGACCGTAGCATTTTTGCATCTTTCCGAAGAATGGGAGTCCGTCGTCGGAGCACAAATCAGGCGCGTCGTCGAAGCAAGTCGAAATAAGAAGCTCGTCAAATAGTGGAGGCAAAACACTCTGTGACATCTGCCTATTTCCAACGGAAGCATCGAGGGAATCGCGAACGGAGCGACTCACGAAGCTCCGCGAGCCCAGCTCTCCGTCCTTAGAAAGGACTTTGGTTCCCGCAGTGATAGAATAGAGAGAGAGAGAGCACCAATGAGAAGTTATGACGCTGTCAAAATATGTTGCTTGATGTGCTCCGCTCTTTCCCGAAATCTTTGCAGCTTACGCCGGGATCCCATGACCCCGAGCGGAATACAAATACTCCGATTGTTTTCGTTGCCCCTGGACTCGGATAGAGCCGATGAGTCAAAGACGCTCTCTCCTATTGTACGTAAATACAACTATCGTAGCTCATGCTTAATAAGCGGTGGCGTCTGTCGAATGAGGAGCTTTATCGGGATCTAAAATAGGCTCCCCGGAAAGCCGGTTCATGCTTGAACCGTGCAACCTCTCTATCCAGCGTACTCTTTGTGCTCCAGCTGGAGCTCCTCGGGGATCTGAGAAAAGCTGTATAATTCGTCTCAGCCTAGGATCTCTTGCTCGCTCGGAGATCCGCGTTTTGTCGGGGGAACGACTTTTTTTTTCGATTTTCTGTGCCACCGTCTCTGCCGGCGGTTATAGCGGCACCGATTACCCGTCAAAGGAATTCCTTACGGGGCGCTTTAGGTAGGTGAATCCGGACGATGGGAAGGCATCTTTCGGTACGCTCTTCTCGAAATTTCCGCGCGCTCGTCGGCTCGATTTCGGTGTAGAATCCGGGAGCCGACATTCTGGTTGGTTTCATCCTCATGCCGTATTTTCCTCGTTTTCAATCACGGGGATTGAATTTCCCCGCTGCGGAAGCGAAGAGCATCGACAGGCTCGGAGGTCGCGTGGAGCTGCTTCAATATATCTCCAGTCCCTCTAAAAAGTCGAGTTCCGACATGGGGGAGACGTCTTCTTCCCTCCGTCTATCCGCTTTTTTTGGGAGCCGGTGAAACTCCCTTGACGGCCGAGGGAATTGTTGATGACGGATATGGTTCATCTTTTTCGTCTCGAGTATTGAGAGTACTTTTATGTTTTCCGTAAGGTCGGCTGGTTATTTTCGACGTGGTTGCCTAAATCAAATGCTTTCCTTCCAGGCATCGTCTGCGGTACGGCCTCGAACTGCTGTCCGTTAGGGCTGCAGGAAGAGATGAAACACAAAGCATCCATTGAACTGAGACAGAGACTTTCTTTCATCGAGGATTATCACCGGGAAATGTCGCTCATCGAAATGCAACTCTTCGGTGAGTGATCTGACACCGACGGGATCGTTGGTCTCACGGAGACTTTATTTCGGAGCTCGCAGCGGACTACGCCACGGCCCAAGGGTAACCGAGAGGGCCAGAGAATCAATCAAGACTCCAAGAAGTATCCGTGATGCGGAAGAGGGTCAATGGGTCCAGTCGCTCGAGCCTGAATAACATATATTCAGGCCTCCGATCTCTGTTTACACGTATACCACAAGTGAAGAGAGGCAGCGGATTGGCTCCGGTAGGCAGGTTAGATTCTTCGTCACTCCGTGATCATTCGTTCAAAGACGAACGTTGGCGATTTTCAGCGAGACTCAGGAGCGAGTTGTAATAATATCAGAGCACTCGTGCCGAGGAAAATATGCGAGCCGCACCTCCACGGAAGAAACGATCCGCACCTCGGGAAGCAAAGATAGCGTGCTGTCCCGTTGGAACATCTCAGGAACATCATTTTCAAACTGATACATCGGCGAGCTCATTATGGTTAGCTCGAGCATCACGAAACAAGGAACGCGTGTGACCGCTGAAACTGTCTCTAAGGCATCCGTTGTGGCAGTCATATTAGTCGTCATCAGGCTGATCACATTCCGCTTCCTTCGTTGTCCAAAATCAGCCTCGCGAGGATTCCTATGTATTCTCCGACTGCGAATGGATTCGATTCGACGAGCATTCGTCCCGTTGCCAACCCTTAAACGGGGATGACCCATGTTCCCGGAAGCTGGTGAAGCTCCCTGTCCTCATGAACTTTTTCCGATAGTGGCGCCGGCCGACGGGACACAGTTCAGATTGTGGAACTCTGCGTACTGCACCGATTGAGCTTCTCCCTGCGGCTAGGTGGATTGTTTCTTGTCCTCAGCTCGATAGAAAGCCCTGTCGCGAGCACACTGAACCGGCTGAAGATGCTCATGCGGCCGAGTATCTCATTTGGCTGACCAGCATGGCCAATCTACCTCTGATATCAATTTCCGGTGGAACGGCATGACCCAGGCCGGCGACTCGGGGAGACAGACTCATCCGCTGCTCTCCAGCTGAATGTGCGAGTGGCTAAACATATATCTCAGAATAATACAGGTGCTAGACGGAAAATCTTGAATACGAGGAGTTCTGGTATCCTCGCGCCGGCCTGCACCGCTTCATGAAGGACAGCGTGGCTAGTCAGATGGACTTTGCTTCGTCCATCAGGTCAGACAATCGTCTAGCCCGCGACCTACGTTCGGCTATATTGAGTTACAAAAAAGCAGGGCGGCAGGCTAGCGCTCGGTGATGAAATCCGGAGGATGAACGGATCCAATGTGTGAATACTTGCTTGCTCAGACCTCCGCGGAATTCATAGCGGAAAGCTCGATCTTTTTCGCTCATTGTGGCCGGTAACAAAAGTACAATGACATTTTTCGCTCGTGCACTCTCCGGCAAACTCACTCGAGGGCGAGTTGAGAATGATCGCAAGAAAAACCTGTTCAGATTGGTATGCTCAGATTCGTTCTGAGTCTGTCACGCGTCTGTCACCACCTGTTGGATGACAATCGCTTGATTAAGATTCCTCGAAGCCTTATCCACCACGGCCCGACTCGGAAGAGTCAGCGAACTGATATAAGCAGGGGAACATTCTCCATGTTTTCGTTTCTCTTTTTATTCAGCTCGCGTATAAACGCCCACTTCGTTTGTTACTTGTCTCCGTTGGTGCCCTCCATTAGTCGGGCTCGTTCGAATTAGAAGGTGACTTCAACTGGGTAAGTCTTCAAGAGACTGGAGACTGGAGGCTTTTGCGGTGGGGTCGATCGATTGATAGCAGGCTAGCTGCTCGAATCGGTGGGCCGGTATGACGGCCTTTCTACGCCTGAGCCGCTCGGTTCGTTTGTTCGTTCGTTCGTTCGCTCGCTCGTTCATCCCATCGTTGCCTACCTGGCTGGCTGGCTGGCTGGCTCGTTCGTTCGCTGATTCCGGTGAGCAGGGTCTAGAGCCGGGTTTGCTTTGATGAATGGAGGAGGTCGGCTGAACAATGTACCTCACTGCAGGAGGTGATGATTTTCGTCGAAGATCTGTTCGTAGGCATCCCGGTCTTCCTCCGTGTCGCTCTCTCCCGTTCGGCATCTAGCTACCTCTGAGAAAGGGAGGAATTCGCTTGAATTTCGGCACCCTGGATCGGATGGAATTGAATCTTCAGCAGACATGAGAGCTTTGATTTTTTCGCATAGCTCTGTGGAATCCAGATGACGGCCGAATCTCTCCGTTTCCGTCCTTATCGATCGTGGTGAGGACGACGCTGTGTGAAAGGGGTAGGCTTCGTTGGTTGCTGGGTGTGCGTTCCGGCGTCTCGGATGCTCTAACATGATTTCCACTGTATCGGGAAACAACCTTCAATCTCGCGTCTCTCCGTGCTGGGCTTCGGCGATCCCGATGCTTGGGTTTTGAGTGATCGCCGGCGTTCAGGGCATCGTCGGTGGTACCACGGAGGGAGGCGATGGAAGTGACGGCAGCGGCATGCGCCGAATGTCGTCTTGTTCCGCTTGCTCGCTCCAACATGAATGACTAAAGAAGAATGCAAGCCAGAGGAGTGTCTGGTTATTCGGAACGGGAGAACGGTCTTCTCGGCCCTCGCCGTTTACTCAGCTTATGCCTTCGCTTTTATCGATCCCTAAAGCTTGTAATTATATACGTACGTCGTATTCCTTTTTTTTTATGTCGTATCGCTGTTCCGTTCGTTTAATCTGTCCGCGATCTAGGTAATCCAGGAGCCCCGTCTCTCTTCCGTACCTCTCCCTCAGGGGAGTGATGTGGAGTACGATCCATGAGCGTATGCTCGATCGTTCCGTTTGGTATCCAAGTAGCCGTTCCTTGGGACGTTCGTTCCTCTCGGGCTCTCACCAATATCGCGCTAAGAGCCGCATTTCGAGGCACTCATCACTCTGACAACCCCTCAGAATATGGACTCATCCGAGCTCTCGAAAAAGCTGAGATCGGAGCTGATGGGATCGGTACGCGATAATTTGGTCGTGAATAACCTGTCTTTTTGAGCGTGAAGTGCCACGACTCCAATGTCAGAATCGACGTCCCGACCCCTAGTACGTATTGTATGTCTTGTCTTAAGCCAGTTCCTATACGAGTTGCTTCTCAGGCGTTCAGGCGCTCAGGGAGTGAAGGAGCGATTGATCGAGTCTCTGCCAGAATCGAGACGTTCGGGGAATTGAGAGAGAAGATGGCTCGTCCAATTCTCTCGATCGTGGGCATCGCTGTAAGACTGACTCGTCTGAGTACGCTCTCTGCAAGCGAGAGGCTAAAACTTCGACCCTGGCCAAGCAGCGGGCGGACACACGCACGGACCATATAGCAGGCTCTGTGACTTGTCTCTTCACGCGGCATCTTCTCCGCTTATCGGCCGAGCGACGGTATTGCTGGTAGGGGCGCCGTAGCTGTTGCTAGCTGGCGTTACAGCTGCCGTCATGGTCGTTCCTCTTCCGTTCCGTCCATCGTTGTCGTCGGAGACGCTCTGGAAACGGATCTGGAGACGGCGAGCCGTCTGGCCAGCAGGTTCGTTCACCGTACCGCCACGCCACTGGCCGACATGAACGTTAGCATCGACACTCAGCCTCTAGAAGAGGGACCGGCTGAGCGAGTTCCGAGAAGAGAGTTTTCAGACTCGGCTTGCAGAGTCAGTCACTTTGTTGACAGCCCCGAGGCTTGCTCTTTGGGTTTGCAGGTAGCTCGTTTCTCGAACAGTCGATCGCATGCTTCCCCAGTATCGTTTCTCGCTGGATCTCTAGAGTTGCTCCGAGAGATGGAAGCGGCTCCCTATTTTGGCGTTGTCCCGTTGTAAGAGAGCTGTTGGACTACGTCTCTCGGCCCAGGCATTCGATAGATCCAGATTGGCCCGCTCGGAGGGCGATCTGCTGAAGTAATGCTTTTTCCTGTACGGAGCCGTTCGTTAGAACTGTTCTCGCTCCGGCGTGACTGAGATTCTTTCACTGTAAATAATCGAATCGGTGGTTTCTGACCGAAATTTCAGCCGCTGTGTCTGGGTCTTTCTCCTGGTATCCGATTTAGCATTATCGTGGGTGGAAATTTATCAGCCTCACGAACACCCCTACCGGGAGCAACGAAATCGGAAAATCGCAAATACGATAGGTACGAGAAGCTTCAGAGAGGGCAGAGAATATTGCTTGATATTCAAAATTCGGAGGACCTCACTCCGGAGAGCCCGATATCCTTCAAAAAAAGATGAGAACCGAATACGCTGTACACGCTCGACTTTAAGTGAGAGTAATCCCTCTTGCTTATCGACGACGAAGGCTCAATCCATTGTAGAACTCAGTCGAAATCGGAACAAATCTACCACAATCTGCTCATTCAGTCCGAAACGCGCTAACGATGCGTTCGGAGAGGTACACCCAGGTCGGGAGTTTTTGATTGGTGCTTTCGTGCCGGGCTCCGAACAAATAAATACCTTGAAAGAGAAGAGTGATCGGCCATCTATTTGATTATCTAAGGGCGCTGTTGAAGTCTTTCGGTACCCCAGCGCTTTGGCTTTTGCCGCCGAAGCAGCCGCCGCTCGTGTTGCTGCTCAGCAACATTTCTGATATTTTTCACTTACCAGGCTTGCTGTCCGATCTGTCGGGCTCGCATCCGGGGAAGGTGGGGGGGAAGCGAACGGTCGTGGAGAGCAGCGGGTGTGGAGCTGGAAGGGAAACAATTCTATTCGTATCTAGTACAGCCCAATTAGGAGCGATCTTTAGCATTCGCCGAGTTCTAGATGGGACGGTCACGGTCATGATGTTGTCTCCGACGGTCCACGGAGCACCGGATAGAAGTCCCAGCACATCGAGACCTGCCATCTCACACTCCGCGAAAATGATAGGGAGCGTGATTAGCTAAAATACGGAACATCTTCCACAAACGGTGGCGTCATCTGCGACTGCGACCATCGCATTTCTCTTGAGAATTAATAGATCCTGACTGCTCCGCGCGCTTGCTGAAAAGAGGTCCAGTTTTTCTCTTGAACGTTGCTTGATGTCGACGACTACGACTGCCAATTGAGAGCGAAGAGTGGACCTTCCCTGGTCGTTCATCTCATGTACTCACCACGACGCGCACGGAACGTCCGCAAGCCATCGACACAATCGTTCGTGAAGGGTTTTGACGATCATGTTTTCTCAGGCGCGGGCGTCGGTGAACTTTCTCCCATCTCTGGAGCCCCTTACCCCCTTCTGGGAAACCCTCTTATCTGCTAGGCTGACATAATCAATACGAACGCCTGAAGTAGCAGAATCATTTCGAGAACTTCAGAGTTCGACAAGCTCTATGCTCCTGGATTATTCCAATTTTCGCTGTTCTTTGCGAATGAACGGAAGAGATCGTATTTTTCCCGTATTTTTCGACTCAGCTATCACCAAACATGCCTCCGATACGGGGTATTTCCGGCAGATGCAGCCGAATCGCGGGCAGAGGGCGGGTCATTTCTCCGATCTTCCTGCCATGCGAGATCCAAGCGAGCCTGTAGTGGCATCCGCTGACTCCGGAATCAGTTTCTCTTGGATGTTGATCCTCTCGGCCCCTCCGACTCATAGATCGTTGCCGAAAAGCCAGAGCCGTGATTCCAGATATCATGAGGGTCAATACGGCTGTGTGGAAGAATTAAGAACTCAACTTCTGTTCCAGATGCATATGGCGAACTCTTCAGCAAAGCACAAGAACATACCCTTTCGACTCTCCACATCGATTTGAGATTCATGGAGCAGAACAGCTCAGTGGAAGTAAGCGAGTCGCTAGCTACAATCGAATGATTATGATTTCTTGTCGTTTTCTCGCTGAAATCGCTTTGCTGAATGACTTCTTACTTAAAATGAAAATTTCCTCCATTCCACAGGCGTTCTACAAAACTTTGCGGACGTATCTTCTGGGCATCGGTCACCGACATTCGGACGACGTAAGCTCGCATTCATGCGCTACGGCTAATATCTACATCAGGAGACAACGAACCACATGGGAGACGACTCAACTCGCTCGGGATTTTGCTTACAGGATAGTCCGAACGTGATAGGAGCGGCTCTCAATAGTCTCTTCTCGGACATCTTCGTATCGGTCTATGAACAGACGGCCAATCCCAGGGAGAGATTCTTCAGCAATGCGTTCAAAAGCTGTCTCCGACAACAAAACTTGGCTTTACAACCTTTTGGCGAAGTGCCTCAAAGACTGGCCGCATACTTCACGAAGAGCTTCCACGTGGACCATCTTGTCATGAAGTCAGTGAGAACGCTCATTGAGGTAAAATAGGAATTCTAGCAAAACGATACTCTGACCCGCTTCCGGACCCTGCCATCGATTCTGCGATCCCAAGACTTTCTCTTGCGCTTCGAATAAAACCCTCGAACTTCAGGTGCTGAAGACGGCTTCCGAGGCAAATGTCACAAATTACTCTGAATGCTCGCGGGCCTTCGCGAATCTCGTCCATTGCCCTGCTTGTCACGCATACACCGATTTGGCTCCGTGCAACAGATTCTGCGTCAATGTCGTGCGGGGTTGTTTAGCGCCCCTTTCTGATCTCAACGCTCCGTGGACATCTCAGGTGATTTCCAACGCACATGTCGGCCGCCCCCGAAACGTCTCCGATGGCGATGGGCGGCAAGAATCGCTACTCCATCGATTGAGGAGGTTCGACGCGAGACTCGCAGTCCTCCCTCTTCTATCATGGTTCTTATTTATGATCCTTATTGCAGGTGGAAAAAACCATTCGTTTGCTGAAGAGAGCTCAGGAGACGAACTATCATGTCGAGATCGGGTTGTTGCTCATTTCACAAAGGCTTGTGGAAGCTGTGCAGTATGCTATGGATAATGGAATCGAGGTCGTGAAGAGGGTCCAAGCGAGCTGCGGAGATCCTGACGGGAAAGGCGACCTGATCATAAAAGCGACGAATGATTCCTCTCAACAGGTACATGGACTTCGCTGCCATCTCGCGCCTTCGCTCGACCCTTATTCCATGACTTTCGCCCCCACAACCGAATTGAACAAGAATTGACTCATCTGAGACTCTTTCAGCATCTGAGACGATCCCTCACCAAGAGAACCGCGACGGAAACCGTTGAGTTACTCACGGGACCCGCGAAGAAACTCCAGGAGACTGCTGACACGCTACAAGCTAAATTGCATACTATTCTCGATTTATTTGGTGAGTTTTCCCGCTCAAAATAAGGACATCTATGTAATTAGATTCTGAATCATGACCCTCCAGATGGCAAGCCCTCCGGAGGCCTGCTAATATTTAGCTCACATATGCATTCCCCCCAGAAACGATTTCCGAGAGACTTTGTCCGGACATCTCGAATTCGGACTGCTGGAACGGATCGACAAGAGGAGATTACTCGAAAACTCTCGCCGGACGCGGTGTCGGAGCTCAGAAACTCAATCCGGAGGTCAGTTGTGGAATATTTGCCCTTGCATTCCGAAGTATACCATAAGTGCATCGTTCGTTCATCTCCACAATTGATACGCTCCATCCGATTGTCCCGGACCGTGATCAGGTTGATAAACAAAACGAATCATTGGCAGAAATCTACAGACGTCCGTTGCGTTCGATTCCAGGTTGTCTTCAATGATCGAATGATTCCGAACTACGTCAAACTGGTTGAACATTCTCTCAGGATGAAACAGGTTACAGGCGCTATAAATCATGCCGCCGTTTTCAAGATGAAACCCGAAATCGAGAATTATCAGGTTGAAACTAGACAGAAAGAGAGTTTCCTGAGCGACGGCAGCGGGGATGCGGAACCCGGCAGCGGTGACGACGAAGACGACGACGAAGGCTCAGGTCAGCTCGAATCCTCCGGCAGAAGCTTCCAATTTCGATATCACCCGCAAACCTAGCATTAAACGGAAAATCCATTTGAAGGTTCAGGAGCTGCCCCCCAAGACGTCGATGCCGAGCCAGACAATGTCGTTCCCGGATCCGACGCAAGTCAAGAGAACGTCACTGCGGCTACAACGACGACCACGAGCTCTTCTCAGCCCACCGAATCCTCGAATGACTCGTCGGCCCCCTCAGTCAATGCGAGCAATATCTGTGCTCTCCTCTTACCGACATTGCTCATGCTTATCCATAGATCGCTCTGAATTTTTGTTCCGTGTATCACTGTGAATATGTACATTATAGTTATAGTTAGCGGAGACTCGTGGCCCGGATGACAATATACGTCCGAAAAAGGTTCGGGGCTATTTAGAATTCCATCTGCGGGTCTTAGAAATCGAATCGCGAATCACTTGTCCGTTGATGCCTGCCCAACGCTCAGAAAACGGAGCGTACCCACCATCTGGATGTGTTCCAGCATATAAATACATGTTTGTCGGTGAGAAGCCCGTCCAATGACCAAAAACTAATGGATACAGGATCATATGTTATTATAAGTACGTCGATGCGCGGCTCGGGGCATCCTAAGAGCATCAGGTCGCATCTGCCTGTGATATAGCGATAGAATTTGAGAGAGCTAGAAGCCTAGCCCTATGTTTTGCACTTCTGCGAGCCCCTCGATCACATACCAAACGTACAAGGCACCGAAACTCAAGTTTGTTTGAGTCCGCTACCAGGGTTTATCTCCTGCTTCGAGGTGAAAATTCTCTCTCGCAGTATGTACGCTGGAGGGATGCCAAGCGAAGCTCACCTGTACAAAAAATGGATATAAGTTCGAAGGCACAATGATCTTAGCCGACGCTGTAATATTCCTCGAATATGACTTCTGGACGGAGATTTCATACCCAAGCTCTCTTCTCCCCAGCTCCGCGGGGCACTTGGGATGCGTCGGTGTCCTAGCGAGGCCCGGAGTCGATAGACAGTTCCATCGTGGGAATCGTCACGATATTAGATTCTCGGGATTGCTTCTCTTGAGCCGCCCGGAAGTCGTTGAAGTTGTCGGTGGCTTTCGAGGAAAAGCATAGTGGTGCGGCAATGCTGCCGCTGACACGCCTCAGACCTTTGGCGGTCAGTTATTTTACCTGATGTTAATAAACGATCGCTTCTCTGCATTCTGGGACCCCCTGAGAATTTTGACTTGGAATTTGAGGCTTTGACCCCTCCGAGAGAGTTTTTCGCGGCAGGCTCTTCGATTCTGTCGGTATGGATTCTGGTAGCGTCTCCTTGGAGACCCTGATCAGCGTCAGATACGGAATCGAGCGGACCCGCATATCCTTGCGGGCACAGTCGAAGGAAAACTGCACGCCTCCTCCGATTATCGCGCGGTCCCGACACTGGCGTACGGCACTGCGGTACTAGTTTCGAGCATCCAAAGAGCGCTGAATGCTCACTCGGAAAAGACGCAGATGTCTGCGGGTCGATCGGCTCCTGGCATCACCGGACACGAATAAGCCGACGATTTCATCGATGTAGGAATCGGTAAGGCATCCCTCGGTGGTACCGCAGGTTGCAAAATATCCAGCCACACTGTTGTTTGTGTCGGAAGGGGGGAGAATCTATCCAACACAAGCTATTAGATAGCATCCAACATCACTTCGATAGAGAGGAGCTCCGAGAAGAGTCGAAGCCTCGGAAGCTCCCGGACCCTGGAGTGCTCCGAGATGAAAAGGAACTACCTACTACAGCGATGAGAGAGGCAGACCCGACCGATCTGCTGAGAAATCGCCCCTGAAATGATAGGGATATGGTCCTCCGATACAGGGATATGGTCCTCGTGGGATCGTATGGATCAATGGAATCATGAGCCATAGACGTCAGTCATTAGCCGTATGGCCACGCTGAGAGTGATACCAGATACATCTTGTAGCTCTTCATCGGGGTCTCTACTACCTTCAGACGCGACCGGCTCACCAGTGATTGTCGGTTCCTACAATGAATCCATTTACCGTACGACATCGATCCCCTCATCACTCGAGTCCGGCTCCCCTGGTCAAGGGGGTTTTGGCGTCTCGATCGGTCTCCGGCATCGCAATGCATTCTTCTTCCAAGCCACCGGTAATAAGCAACGTAAGTTGCGTATTTGTAGCGAACTGCGGAAGAGCGCTATAAAGCGAAGCCGAGCAAACCAAACTGCACGGTCCAATGATCGCACACATGTGTAAGCCGGTGCTGGGCTGCCGCAGAGTGTGTTGTAGGCATTCTGTTGCGGGCTTCCCGAACGTGGACTGGTGCTCGACTAGAGTGATTTTTCCGTGTCACATACGAAGCAATGATGGACCTACTTCAAAAGTGAGTTGAAGGGGGAAGAGTCAGACAGCAGTTGTGTCCGGAAAGGATTCCTGGACCCCGACAATGCGGCTTCAGCTGTAGAATCAACCCAAAGCAATGTCTGCTACGGTCTATGCCTTGTTGCCTTTCTGTCGCTTCACGCCAGCTTCGGACCCTGATCAATTCGTGATTCAACAAGAGGCTAGCCACCGTGGAAGCTTCACAAGATCGCCCGAGACTTTACGAGAGTAGGAGGGAGGGGGAGGGGCGGTGGAAGGCTTGTGAACGAGGGTTGAAAAACCGGATGATCTTCGCAAAGGTGAGCCGAGGCAACAGGACGGATTTGTTGTCCTGGGCAATTCTCTCCCGCGGTGCGCAACAAGGCAGCCACGGAGAGGCTACCGGACCGGTCCAGAACTTGCTCCATCGAGAAACAGACTGTACGCCCTAAGTGATTCGAGTACGGCTCGCTTTCTCGGTTCGCGTGCGAAGAGCAGGCGCTGTCAGAAATATCTAATTCAGATAATTCCGGCACGCACGATCGGCCAACAGAAGGAAAAAGTTTGTTCAATACTGACGGCGACGGGGAGGAACTCCGTCCGAAAATAAACAGATTCTAGCATTTGGGCTAATACATATCCAGGCAACGGAATTCCACGCTTCGAGAGTAGACTACGGTCTTGCGAAGGTCGTCACTCGCGTAAGCCAAAACAACAAGACTTATTGAAAGAAAGATACGAGATGCCGGTTTACGATATTTGCTCTCTGAGAGCTCGCTCGAGGGCGTTCGCTCTCCAAGTCAGCTCGCATCCTCTGAACTGTCAGAAAGTGTCGTGACCTGTGCGGTGAGGCTCCGGAGACCATCTTTCCGGTGGGTCCCAGCTTGGGCTTCGCGAGGGCCGGTGAGTACATCGACCAAGGGGCGAAATTCCAATAGTCGGAGGGAATCCGCCTGCAGCTTCGAGTGATGACAACGCCCGCAGATTCGCGCCCGATCTCTAACGAATCGAACTCGTTCGCGATTTCCGACTTGAGTGAGCATGAGGCGTCTCATTCTGTTTGCTAGGCAGGCGTTTCCCCTCGTACAATTCTTAGATCCGCGAGCGTCACTCCCATCCAACGATCCAGATTGGCGAGCTGTAGCTTCCCTTTGTGAATATTCGGCAGTCCAGCAGCTGCACCAGACTCTTGAGCTCAGGTGGGTCAGGATGCGTCAAAGATTTCTCCATCCCATCGGTAACGAGTGTCAAGAACCACATACGCGAATTAAAGGACACTGAGCGCTATCGACCTGATACCGGCGTCACCAGCTCGACCCGGAGCACTTTTCCAGTGTTTATTTGTCCGCGAGGCGGGAGCTACCAGCAATGATCCGATAACTATCTGAACGAGAACGAGTAGCTCTCGCTAACACTAGCAGATTGTCAGTGCGAAAGCCGAATTTGAGTCGGATCGTCTTACTCCAATAGATGATTGTCACTGCCCCCGATGGATGTTTCGAGAGCATTCCTCAAAACACGAATCAGACTAGATTACAGAACTTCTCTATCGCGCATGCTGTGAGTCGCGGGCTCCGGAACGATTAGTTGACCGAGGAGTCGATACGGTTCTTGCATGCCGGTGAGATTCACCGACTCCGAGCCCTGCGTGAGGTAGTATGGCGCTCAATGAGATGCATGTTCTATTACCTTGCTGTCAATGCACGAAAGTCGAGGCTGTCTTCCAGAATTCCAAGCTCAGAGTTGATTCGGTGAGTGACCACTCGACGAACACTAGGCGTCCTTCCTCCGGCGGTCTCTGAGCGCTGCCAAAGGCTTACGCGTAGGTCAGATCTGTAACAGGCTCGCTCTCGCCGTGTCTACCGGCTGACGTCGGCCTCCCAGACACCAATTTCCTCCTTAAAAATTGCTTGCTGTTCCAGGCGGATGGCGGGCTGCCGCGGCTCCGACTGATTCGGTCTTTTCCCTCACGTATAATCTGTGCGTGAAGACAAGTGTGAAAGAAGCGCGGAAGAGCCTCGATATTCGGGTCTGCGGAACCTCGCAATCGCTGAGTCTGCTGCTCTGACACTGTCTTCAATGCCACCGCCACATCGTGCTTTGTGATATCAACGCTATGTGCTGGCCTTGTTGATGCTGAAATAGACTCAGAATGTCTCGGCCTAGACTCCGACGATTTCTTTCCGAGTCTTATGATTTCCGTCAGCGGCCATTATTCAGGCGACAAAGTTTATGCGAAGTCGTGTATGAGGAACCTGAATTCATTGGACTCCTCGGATATCAGGAACTCCCCGGCTCTCCGAGCAGATCCGAAAAGGTATGTGAGACTTCTGCAATCGCTGACTGAAACTTGTCGAGTATCATAGCATTTGAACTCCACCCGAGAGAGGGAGTGAGAGTTTGCACGCTCTCTCTCTCGAGGTTCCTCGCTCCGTTATCCATCTCCGGAGCAAGGTAAAAGCCGGGACCGATCGCAGGTGCTGCCGACGTGATAAGTTTTTTTTCCGATGTTCTCGATTTGCCATCGCAAGACCAGCGGTCAGCGGGCTCGGGTGATGCTCGCTCTCTCCTTCTTTGTTTTGTGTTTAGCTCTGTCCCGATCTGTCTAACTTCTGACAGGGCCAAGAACTCCGAAGGATGTAGTCAGCGATCCAGAGGAAGTTCCGGCCCCCGCGTTACACCGATCGGCCCGCGCGCCCCTCCACTCGGCCTCGCTTCCCTTTCTCTAAGGCGACCCTTGCCGAGCTCCACGTGCGCCCCACGAGTGCCTGTACGGAGAGCGCACAAGCCGCGTAAAGCTCCCAACTAACCTGGACGTCGGAGGAGCGTGAGGTGCTAGCGGTGATTGCGTATACTCATGTAGTGATTTTGAGTGTGTGTGTGTGGCGTAACGGTTGAGCACAGGTACTGTCTCAGATTCTCGGCCTCCAGTGGTGGTC